CCTCCATGCACCATCAACCAACCAAAGGGTACACCCTGCAAGTCTGCCCCTCGGTCGTCAGCACACAGCCCCTCTCCCTCTTTGGGTCTAGAGTCCTCAGCTTCTCTATCTCTCCATGTAATCATCTCTGCCTCCATCTCTGGTATCACTGCTTCTCTGGGTAGGGTCCTGCTCTCTGTTCTTCTCCCTTGATGGGCCTAGGGACCTCTGCTCCTGGACTGCAAAGTCAACCACTCCCCTCCTTTTGCTACAAAACGTCCACCTTTATATTTCCAACCCTCACAGTGAGTCCTGATAGCATTATTCACTTTGTGCCACATGAGTCCTATCTCCATCTCCTTTCATCAGCCTAAATGTTCTTTTTGACCATTACTGTGATGCCATGCTCTTGAATTTGTCATTCCCGGCATAGTAAACCATGTGATTGTCTGATTCAAAGTGGCCATTTCAGCTCAGTAATGCCTAGAATGGGGATCTTTGTGCATTCCCTTTCATTTTGACAACTTCCAATTTTCCTAGATTCACACTTTCTACGTTCCATATTCCAATTAGTAATGGATGGTTATAGCTGTTTCTTCCCTTTTTGAATTATGCCCCATCAGCATATGAAGGTCTGAAAGCTTTTCTCCATTCACTCCATTATGGTGAACTCTAGTTTGAGGAGGCAGCTCTTTTCCAGTCATATTTTGTGTGTTTGCCAACCTGAGGGGCTCATAATTTTGCTATTAAATCTGGCAATGTTCTGCTGCTATTCATAATGTTTTAATCTACTGGTAGTATATTTGAGAATGTTCCGCTGCTATTCGTGAAGTTTTCAGTGGTTAGCCAGAAGTAGTCTGGCTCTCCTTATTCCTGATCTGTCATAGTCCGGAACCTCCACTGAAACTTGTTGGTTTATAAAATAACCTGTGACACAGCTTTCAGCATCTCAGCAACACACAAGCCACTACAGTACAAGAAACTGATCAACAAGTCCCCTTATAGACTGTCTATTGTTTGGCTGAAAAATGAGCCCTGGGGGTGAGTTCTCTTTCAGACCTGATGGGTGACTAAGGGCCATAGTCCTGGGATGACCAGAAAGCTTGGTCTTTTTATGATTTAGAGTTTTGCTCCACATTTTTCTCCCACTCTGGCCAGGATGTTCTGATAGCTCTTAGAGTAGTTAGTAGTGGTAGCTGGGCACCATCTGGTTCTTCTGCTCTTAGGGTTGTGGAGACTGCCGTTGGAATAGTCCATTAGTCCATTGGACTAATTATTTCCATGTGTCTGATTTTCATCTTTCATCTGGACAGAAAGAAACTGATAGTTGCACCTTAGATAGCCACTTCCAAGCTTTTAAAGACCCCAGTTGCTGCTCACCAAAGTTGGATGTAGACAATCATCTTTGTGCACTATGTCATATCAACTTAGCTCTGAGACTGTGGTCCTGAGCTTCCAGGCCCAGTGACTCATTTGTATTGTTGTTGTTATGTGCCGTCGAGTCGGTTCCGACCCATAGCGACCCTGTACAGGGTTTCCAAGGCTGTAAATCTTTACGGGAGCAGAAAGCCTCCTCTTTCTCCCATGGAGTGGCTGGTAGTTTCAAATTGCTGACCTTAAGATTTGCAGCCCGATTTGTAACCACTACTCTTTCTTAAAACTGATACTTTTTCAACTAAGAATTGTGGGTGCCCCATAATAAAATGGAAACAGCCCCTCTGCTTCCTGGCTTCCTCTTTTCCAGCATAGTGGTTTTTTTGTTGTTTTTTTTTTTGAAAACCATTATTATTTGGGAGTCTATTTGCCTAGATGGTTTAGAGCTAGGGTTCTGCCTTTATCTGCTATGTGCTCTGGGGCAGGATAACTTTTCTTAAGTTTCTTATTTGTAAAATGGGAACAGGAGGCCCTTAGGATTAAATGACACACACAAAATACTCTTAATAAAGATTTTTATTGTTGTTAAGCCATGTTGACTTGGTTCTGACTCATAACTACGCTATATAGAGTTTCCGAGGGGACATTTGGTGGGTTTGAACTGCCAACCTTGCAGTTAGCAATCCAATACTTATTCTACAGCACCACACCAGGACTCCTAATAAAGATGAGTGTTTATTATTTATTTGCATGTTACTTGATTTGCCAGTTTAGGTGGTGCTTCAAACCCACTAAGCTGTTCCTTGGAAACACCCTATACAGGGTCGCTAAAAGTCAGAGCTGATTAGAAGGCACTTAACAACAACAATAGTTACAATATAGCAGTTTGTAATCCTGATGATAGTCTACACTTCTGTGCAGCTAGTGAATCCTGGTATGGTGCTGCAAGAGAAGCACTGGACTGCTAACCAAGGTTGTGGTTCAGACCCACCAGCTACTCCTTGGAAACCCTATCCAGGGTTGCTGTGAGTTGGAACTGACTTGTCAGCATTTCATTCACAGTGGCAATGCTTAATTAACTAGTCACCTATTAAAGTTATTTAAAAATTTTTATTGTCTGAAAAATTAAAATCCATTATGTATGCATTTTGCAATGATTTTCTTAGAATCAAATAATTATCCTTTTACAACTGTACTAATTATTAAATGCTATTGAGTTGGTTTTGACTTATAGAGACCCTGTATAGGAATTTAGAGGAATGGCTGGTGAGCTTGAACCACCGACATTGCATTTCAAACCGACCTTGCAGTTCATTGCTTATCCTACAGCACCACACCAGGACTAAATAGTTTAGTTTAAGGCTGGCTCACTACTGGTTAACGCATTTATGCAGGAGGAAAGTGCTTTCAGTTATTAAATGAGGATAATATTTTTAGATGCCATTAGAATCCTAAATTAATATTTCCACTGACCTATTTCCAGAGGCTAGCCATATTTCACTTGGGTATTTTCGCTATTGTTTCAACACAACATGTATAAAACAAAATGTATGTTCTTGCTTCCAGAACTGGTGCTCCCTATGATTTTCCTCTTTCTATTAATATTATCACTGTTTCCATAGTAATTTAGGCTTGTCCATCTTTCATTTCCATCTTGACTTCCTCTTTGCTGGTTACTTTTGGGTTATGAGTCGGAACTGACTCGACGGCACTCAACAACAAAAACAACTTTTGGAATTAGCTGTCTTTTAATGTCCTTCATTTCCTGTTTTCACTACTGCCTTTTAACTTCATTTCCTTACCTCTTTGGAATAAATCTTCTGCCTCTAATTTTTGTAGCCATCAATACTGAGCACCAGATTGATTGTCTCAAACATAACTGTAGGTATCACTCTTCTCTTTTAAAAATGTCAGTGGCCACATGTTTTCTGAATAGACATTCGTTGGTGGTGGTAGTAGCTGGGCACCATCTGGTTCTTTGGCTCTTTAGGGTCGTGGAGATTGCTGTTGGAGTGGCCCACTAGTCCATTGGACTGAGCAATAATTGCTTATCACCAGATGCATGCCAGCCTTACCTCTCACTACTCCCCTGTTGTTAAGTGCCGATTCAAGTTGGTTCTGAGTCATAGTGACCCTGTATAGGGCTTCTGAGGAGTGGCTGGTAAGTTTGAACTGCTGACCTTGTGGTTCCAACTGACCTTGCCTTCCAGTGCTTATCCTACAGCGCCATACCAGGGCTTCTCTACTCCCCCTCATGGACCTTTTTCTTCCACCCAGATTCTTCAGTGTACTGCCTCTTGAATACATCTTTTTTATTTTCTTTCTTATTTAGAAAAACTTCTGTTTTTCCTAAACAGATTCTTAATATCCTATTTCTTTAAGTCCACCTACTGCTTCTCTGGGAGTCCTGGTGTGGTGCTGTGGGTTATTGTGTTGGACTGCAAGGTCAGTTTGAACCACAAGGTTGATGGTTCAAGCTCACGCAGTTGTTCCTTGGAAACCCTATGCAGGGTTGCTATGAGTCGGTACCAACTGGACGGCACTTAACAATAGCCACTTCTCTGAACTCTAAGCACTGAATTCTTCATTTCTTTCATTTGGCACTTAATCATTTACTGATTAGTATTAGCTTTAATTACTGAATTATTTAACTTTACCTGGCTGTATGTCTAGTCTTTTTTTTTATAAATTGCTGGCTCCTTAAGGGTAGGGATACTTTCTGGTTTTCTCTGAATTCCTGAGAACCATTGTTGCTGTTGTTATTAAGTGACTCCTATAAAATGAGTACTCAATAGTTATTGTAATACTGTTTGATGGGTAAACAGTATTACAATAGTTTTTAAAATAGAAGCTTTAAAAAACTTTTAAGATGAAAATTCCTAAAGGAATACATTAATACTTTACAAATAACTTTTTTGAAGAGGCGACTTTTGTTGGCTTTGTGATATCACTGAGTTTACATTAAAGCTGCCTGTTCAGGAACTGTGATGGCATAGCTGGCCTGGGGGAACTTTACTTTCCAAAGAGGCAGCAGGCCAAGGACTGGCTAAATCCCAAGCCAGAACTACTAGGTTCTGTGAACCAAGTGTGTCATGTTAACTTTAGCTTGAATGCCTGCTTCTCCTTTTGGGAGCAAATTTCATTCTTGTCCTGGCTTTCATAAAAAGCATACAGTACAAGTAAGGAGTAGGAGAAGGAAGAGGAAGGGATAGAAAAGAGAAGAAAACTTATAAAGCACTGAGGAGCTTTAGTCTGTGTAGTAATCTTGCTGCCATCAGATGTAAAAGTAGCCTCTAAAGTTGATCTGAGAGTAGACACTGAGAGAGTAGGAATTGGCACTGTTAAGGGAAGTGGGTGCCAGAAAAGAAACCTGGAAGGAGAACTTGGGTTCCTCGCCACCTTCCCTTTGTAAAGTACTCTGTTGTGTCTCCACTGAACATGTATCTTGTGTAAAGGAAATTTATTAGTCTTATTGTAGATTTTCTGCCAATATTCATTATGAACCATATAAACCATATTTTCATTTATAGGATTAGTGTTGTTTTTAGAGGGAATCTTCAGTTCTACATAAATAATAATTATTAAATAAACAATGTTTCTTTTAGAAAAATCTTGTAAGAGAATTTTTTCCCCCTTAATCTTTATAGAAAATGTGCCAGAGGAACTCCGTGAACCGTTTTACACAGATCAGTATGACCAGGAACACATCAAACCACCTGTTGTTAATTTGCTTCTGTCGGCTGAACTGTACTGTCGAGCTGGGAGTCTTATTCTCAAGAGTGATGCTGCAAAACCCCTTTTGGGCCATGACGCTGTAATCCAGGCTTTAGCACAGAAAGGTCTTTATGTCACTGACCAAGAAAAATTGGTAACTGAACGAGATCTCCACAAGAAACCCATACAGATGGTGAGTTTTTATACATATCCAAGATTATTCTAAGTTTGAAATGCGTTCTTCAGAATGTAAACTGTATTAAAAAAGAGTCAGACTTTTGAAAATTCGGTTATCATCTTTGCCTTGAGTGTAAGAGCCACCTTTTTCTTAGAATTCTCCAAGAAAATCTTCCAAGTGAAGATGATTCCAACAGAACTGCTTTGAAATGTTTGTTGCCATCTACTATGTGTGAGAAATCACATAATTTTCTTCTACTTTAAAGTGATTTTTATTCAATTAAAAAAATTTTTCCCAGCTCAAAGTGATAGCTTATTTGACTTTATTTATTAGGAAAGAGATGAATTTTGCAAGTGTTCATTTATATGCTTGAATGACCACATGGTAAATTTCTATACATCAGAAAGTTTAGTCTATTTAATAACCATTAGGTGTGCTATGACACTGTAGGATAAGCACTGGACTGTTAACCACAAGGTCGGTGATTTAAACCCACCAACCACTCTTCAGAAACTGTATACAGGGTCTCTGTGAGTCAGAACCGACTTTATAGCCCTTAACTAACTTCATAATAGCCATTAACTCATTCTTGTGGAAACACACACACAGAGAAGGAGATACAGAGAGAGAGAAAACTTTTACGTTTACCTGGGCAGTAATCTCTGGAGACATAGATCTAATTGTTTCAAGTTCATTGTGTGCTGTTTCAGTCCTTGTACTGCTTTATCTTAAGTTTCCCAAAATCCTGGGTATCAACAGGAATAGTAAAAGAAAGAAAACTGGTTTAGTATGTTTGATTAAATCATTCTCTTTTATATGAACTTATTGCCTGGCTTAGGAGGAAGGGGAGGGGTCTATATAGAAGGGTATCTATGAGAGGGTATCAGAAAAGTCTAGGAAAAGATTCACTTTTTTTAAAAAATATTTTATTCTGAATTATGTGATAGTTTACATGGGAGAACATTAGCTTTATATTCATCCTATTGTATATCATTTCATTGCCATGGTTACAATCCCCTCCATGCACCATTAACCAACCAAAGGGCATACCCTGCAAGTGTGCTCCCTGTGGTCAGCACACAGCCCCTCTCCCTCTCTGGGTCTAAAGTCCCCAGCTGTTCCATCTCTCCACGTCATCGTCTCTGCCTCCATCTCTGGCGTCACTGTTTGTCTGGGTAGGGTCCCACACTCTGCTCTTCTCCCTTGATGGTCCCAGGGACCTCCACTCCTGGACTGCAAAATCAATTACTCCCCTCCTTTTGCTACAAAACGCCCTCCTCTACATTTCCAACCCTTGCAGTCAGTCCTGATAACAATTATTTACCCTTGTACCACAAGAGACCCATCCCCAACTTCTTTCATTAGCCCGCCCAGACAGATTGGTTACCATTCAGTGGAGATTCAACCTTCCTCCACGCCCTCTGGATCTAGGTTCCCTCTTGAAAGCTTGTAAGCCAGTCACTTCTTGCCTTTGTAGCCCCACCATTTTGCGTAGCCTATGTCCAAGTTTCTCATCCCTGTATACTCTGTGTGTGGAAGGTGTGGGAATGATCCTCGCTGTAAAGATTTGTTCCTTCTTTTAAGCTACTGCATCCATAGGTGTAGGTCAAGTTCATCAAATTGTTCACTATCTTTTAATCCATTTTCCATGAACTTTTGAAGTCCTCTTATATTTTGAAATGTAAGAAAACATGAACAACAACAAAATGTTTTTTCTCCCAGTCTAGTACAAAATGGGAGTCCTAGTGTGGGGCTGTAGGATAAGCATTTGACCACAAGATGGGTTTAAATCACAAGGTTGGCTGTTCAAACCAACCAGCTGCTCCTCAGAAACCCTATATACAGGGTCACTATGAATTGAAATGGACTCGACGGCACTTAACAACAACAACTTTACTAAATGAGTGAGTGTGATTACTCCATAGGATAAACACTGGATTGCAAACCATAAGGTTGGTGGGTTGAGTCCTCCAGCTGTGCTATGGGAGAAAGATGAGCCTTTCTTCTCCTGCAAAGATTTAACACACCTTGGAACCCCCGTCCTATACAGGTTCACTATGGATCGGAACTGACTCAAAGGCACTTAACAACAATAAAAGTACTAAATGAGGAAGTACCATACTTTGTTTCTTATTTTCTTTCTTGTAAAAACAAAACACAAACTCTGTGTTAGGTACCAAGTGATGATAAACCTAATTTAATGCTTTTAAGGAATGGAAATAACAGCTGAAGAATAATTTAGTTAATTGAATTTAATTGTATGTTGATAATAAAGGTTTTCAAGATAAGTAGGGATGAGTATCTTTTATATCATGAGATTTTCAGTTTCCATTGTTGTTGTTGTTAAGTGCTGTTGAGTCAGTTCCAACCCATAGTGACCGTGTATAGGGTTTCCATGGAGCAGCTGATGAGCTTGAACCACCGACCTTGCAGTTTAAACGTCTTTGCAGTCTGACGCATTAATGCACAGCGCCACAATATGGCCTCAAAATTCACATTATGGTTGCCTCCTGATTTTTGTATACTTGTGTTATGTGTATCTCATGTTGTTGTTGTTAAATGCTGTTGAGTCAGTTCCGACCCATAGCAACCATATAGAGGGGTTTCCAAGGAGTGGCTGGTGAGCTTGAACTGCTGACCTTACGATTCAAACCTACTTTGCAGTCCAGTGCATTAACCCACAGCACCACACCAGGACTGGACTACATACATCTCATATAAGGGACTTTAAAAAGTTTCATGGAAAATGGAATTAAGAGATAATGGAATTTTTCTATAAACTTTTTGAAGTACCCTCATATATGTGACCACCACTCATATGTCACTTTGTCGTACTGTGGTGGCTTTTGAATTGCTGTGATTCTGAAAGCTGTGCCACCGGTATTTTAAATACCAGCAGGGTCACCCATGGTGGACAGGTTTCAGATGAGCTTCCAGACAAAGACAGACTAGGAAGAAGGAGTGACAAACTACTTACTTGAGAACTAAGGTGCACCCAACCCAAGCCATGGAATTTTCAATAACCTCATATGCATGTGAAAGCTGGACAGTGAATAAGGAAGACCTTAGAAAAATTGATGCTTTTGAGTTATGGTGTTGGAGGAGAATATTGAAAGTGCCATGGGCTGCCAAAAGAACTAATAGATCATTTTGGAAGAAGTGCAACCAGAGTGCTCCTTGGAGGCCAGGATGGCCAAACTTCATCTCTCATACTTCGGACATACTGTCAGGAGGGACCAGTAGCTGGAGAAGGATATCATGTTTGATAAGGTGGAGGGTCAGAAAAAAGAGGAAGACCCCCAGTGAATTGGATTGGTCCCAATGAAGTGGCAGCATCGATGGACTCAAGCAGGCAACAATAGAGAGGTTGGCCCAGGATTGGGCAGTGTTTCATTCTGCTGTGCATAATAAGGTCACTATGAGTCAGTACCGACTTGATGGCACCTAACAACAACGTTTATGTGAATAGTCTGCCAACACCAGAGACAAGCAGAATTCTATTTAGGTGTTCTATCAGTGTCTCACATTCTACCCTTCCTGAACCCTTTCACTAGTTAGTTGGATGCTCCTGTTTGATTATTTCCATTTACATTGTTTCAAGGCCAAGTGTGGCGCTGTGATTTAATGTGCTGGACCCCAAGGTCTGTTTGAACCGGAAGGTCAATGATTCAAGCTCACTAGCTGCTCCTTGGAAACCCTATACAGCGTCGCTGTGAGCCGGAACTGACTCAACAGCACTTAACAATGACAACAGCAAGGCCAAGTGGATAGTTGCAGAGTACACTGATGGCTTTGTGAGCCAGTGTTTGCTTAGTTGCTCTTTCAGATACATATGCATTAGATAGCCTAGTTGTATTTAAGTAGGTTATTTATTTCATATTTTAAATCCTTTTTAATAAGAGTGAAACAAGTGTATCATACTTCCTGCATTTTTTTTCCCTAGTACACTTTGTGTATCTAAAGATACAGTATGAGGATACATTTTGGCAAATTGCTAATTGCATTATTCTTGTATTACCTTCACACTGTATTGATCCTGCTGATAGGTTTGAATGCAGTTAAACCTGACTGCAGGAAATGTGTATCCCACCCTGATTCCCTTATGATTTATTAGCTAATTACATTAGATCACATTATGGCAGGTAATTACATTATTACACAACTGCCAAATTACATTACTGAATAACTGCCAAACCACTGAGAATTGTGGTCTAGCCAAGAGTTGTGGGGTGGGATATTATTACATCCATAACAGAAGTGGAACATACTTTTGATTGACAGATGTTCCTTTCTGATTTTAACGTAAATATACACAACTATTCTTACGGTTACCACTCAGTCATACATTTAGTGTTAATTCAAGTATACATTCATTTTAGCTTTTAGAATTATGTCCATTTTAATGCTACTGGGATATGATGTTTATATTTCCCCTATACACAAATATTTGTAATGTTCCTTAGGGAGATCACAATTACAATCGCTTCTATCAGTCTTACTGACAATACATGATGAAATGAAACGTTAATGCAATATAACAGTTATTAGTTGGCTTTAAAACATAGTGTCTGAAAATACTTTTTCAGTGCAAACATAGAATAAAAACAATTTAAGGGCCATACTTTCAAAATCTTCCTTTAAAAGCACTGTAATAAGAGCACAGATACTTCAAGAAGGCTTCTCACTTAAAAAAACAAAAAAACACTTTCTCCTAAATTCCCACAGTCTCCATCCCAAAGTTAATAATACAAACCAAACTCATTGCCATCAAGTTAATTCCAACTCACAGTGATCCTACAGGACAGAGCAGAACTGTCCCCAAAGGGTTTCCATGGCTGTAGGTTTTTATAGTAGCAGGCTGCCGCATCTTTGTCCCACAGAGCAGCTGACATGCTCCAACTGCCACCAGGACTCCAAATTAATACGGTCTGCTTTGTCAAGTGTCTTATTCACACACCTTTCATTTTTAAAAATCAAAACTCTAGGAAAACAAAAGCCTTAAGATTCAGATTGCC